TTACAGCAGGGACGGATTTCGGTTGTTCCTTACCTGTTGAAGGTGTTTCGAGCATGTGTGGCCACGGGCTTCACACCTAGAAGCTGGCGGCAGGCTAAAGTGGTATTCATTCCTAAACCGGGCAGAGCTAGATATACTGGCCCGAAGGATTTTCGACCGATTACTCTTTCATCTTTTGTGCTTAAGACCCTGGAAAGGATAGTTGATAGATACCTAAGGGATGGCCCACTGGAAAGGTGTGTCATTCATGCAAATCAGTTTGCATACCAAGCTGGAAAATCGACTGATCTGGCCTTACACAATCTGGTCGGGAGGCTGGAGAAGACTCTAGATCAGCGAGAAGTGGCACTCGTGGTCTTCTTGGATATTGAAGGTGCATTTAATTGCACCACAACCGACTCTATCAGACAGGCCTTGGTTAGACACGGGGTTGGATCAATCCTAATAGACTGGGTCCTCTCTACTCTGGAGGGTCGGGTAACAACAGCTATGCTGAATAACGTAAGCTGCAGCGTGAACGTAGCTAGAGGCTGCCCTCAGGGCGGAGTTCTGTCACCCCTACTGTGGTGTGTCGTGGTGAACGAACTGCTCGTTAGGCTCAGCAGTATGGGTGTCTACGCGCAAGCCTATGCTGATGACGTAAGCATAGTGGTTAGGGGGCGTTTCTGTAGAACAGTCTCGGAAATTATGCAGGGCGCTCTGCGCTCCGTGGAATCGTGGTGTAGGGAAGTCGATCTTTCTGTTAATGCTGAAAAGACCGAGCTGATCCTATTCACTAGGAGAAGAAGGCTTGACGGACTGGTCATGCCGACCTTCTTTGGGACTAGATTAGTTTTGTCCCAGTCAGTGAAATATCTGGGAATTATCCTGGACTGCAAACTGAACTGGAGAGAGCATGTGGAACACAAGGTTAGCAAGGCTCGCAATTCGATGTGGGCTTGTAGACGTGTTGTCGGTATAAGGTGGGGGCTTAAACCCAAAGTGGTATACTGGCTCTACACGACGATAGTACGTCCATCTCTCTTGTACGGCTCCCTGGTCTGGTGGCCTTGCATTAGAACTGAGTCAACTAAGGCCAAACTCAATAAAATTCAGCGTTTGGCCTGTATTAGCATTACAAGCGCAGTGCGAACAACGCCATTGAGTGCAATGGAAGCTCTGTTGGATCTCCCACCGTTGGATCTGGTGATTCGCGGTGAAGCGAGAGTAGTCGCTCATCGACTGTGGAGTCAGGGCAGCTGGGCTTTCTTGAATCCGGTCAAGGGGCATACTGCCATATTAGTCGAATTAGAAAGGGAGGACCCCGTCCTTCTAAGCAGGGGTGATCGTATTACCCCTAAATATCGCTGCAACCGCAAGTTTATTGTGGAGTACCCAACGAGGGAGGAGTGGGACGCCGGTAGCCGAGGACTCTCCGAAGTGAGCGGGCAGGTCTGGTACACGGACGGCTCGGTCACCGAAGAGGGCTCAGGTGCTGGGGTCTCTGGACCTAGAACTAGGCTATCTCTGCCTCTCGGTGAGTACACCACCATTTTCCAGGCGGAAATCTTTGCGATTCTGGCTTGTGTATCTCACATTCTGGAGGAGGGTGGGCCTAGGAGAAGAATAACAATCTTATCCGACAGCCAGGCTGCACTGAAAGCACTAAGTGCATGTAAGATTACTTCGAGTCTTGTATTGCAATGCAGGGAGGCTCTGGATTGCCTCGCAGCGAGGCATCCGGTATCGTTAATATGGGTACCGGGGCACGCTGGGATAAGGGGCAATGAGACGGCGGACACTCTGGCGAAAACAGGATCAGCCAGCAAGCTCGTTGGTCCTGAGCCAGCTCTAGGAGTAACCGCGCATAAAGCTAGGAGGAAAATGGAGACGTGGGTTGCAAGACAACACTCTCAGAAATGGAGAAGTATCTCTAGACATCTCCGCCAGGCACGAGAGCTCATTGAAGGGCCCAGTGCTAAGGATGGACGCTTCTGCCTATCTCTGGGTAGAGCCAACCTAAGGTTGCTGGTGGGACTGTTGTCTGGCCATAACACGTTAAGGGGGCACCTGCACGTGATGGGGGTGGCAGAGGATCCCTTGTGCGAACGCTGCGGAGTAGAGGAAGAGACCTCGGCGCACGTTTTGTGTCGCTGTGAAGCTCTGAGCTACTATAGGCAGACTATACTGGGGTCCATTACTTTGGACCCTCAGGACGTAAAGGAGCTTGGACTCAAGGCGATTCTCAACTTCGCTAAAAGGGCGAGGCTTGTGTTTTAAGTATTGTAGAGGTGCATAAGGGCCCGCTTAAGCGGCCTATGCACTGGCTCCTTATGGTGGCCGGGATGCCTCTAAATTCAAGATTCATTCATGCCCGATTAACGTTACATTTTGCATAGGTGAAACTCGAACAGCAGGGCGCTCTGGATTGTGTTGTCTTGAAGGCCATGTAGTCTGTTTCAATAGATGACGCAAAAAAGTTGAGCTAACTAAAAATCAGCACCTATCCAACTTTTTCTTGCCCCCAAGTCTGATGGGTTAACACGTTTGATTTCTTACCTCAAGACTGTTTGCTTAAAGGGATATAAGACTTAAGTCTAGGCTATTGAACTTGGATCAGACTTTCTTAACGAATCTGGATTTGGAATATGCAGGGATTTTGGTACCCGTTAGGGTTAGGTGAAATATATTTCAGATTCATATTCAAGGGAAATCTCTTCCAATACAATGCTGTACCGTTTAGGGTAAATTATACCCCTTATGAGTTCACAAAGCTAATAAAACCATTTATATACTACCTTACGAAAAAATTCAGTACTTTCAGACTCAGTATTAAATTGTGACAGAAAGAAAGTAACTTTACTTGAGCGAACGATGCAGACATTACTAAACCTAGTAAGGGCAATAATGGACAGCAACCAAGACAAAGTCCGAAACTTTGCGGTGAACATCGGGATCTTGGTGTCAGCTTGTCTTTCATTTCATTACAGCCGACTATACACTGACGAGTGAAATTTCTTGTCTTGTAAAATTCTCAAGGGAATTTTAATGCTACTATGCCACTGAGATAATAAAACTTAAGGTCTACCTCGGCTGGGGCTCAATTATCCAATTTTTTGTTGTATAATTTCTCGGACTGGGACATTCGTTGGCCAGGGAGGAGTCTCTAGTTTTTGCTAACCCGAGAAGATCCCGCATGCAAATCATCAAGAACAACTGGTAGTTTTCTTCGGTGGTGAATGCTTTGCAACTGAATTGACGGGCTGTCGCATATTATACCCTATCCTACATGAATGGAATGGAGAGTTTCTGCAAAGAGAGCAATCTTACTACCCTCGCGTCAAATATAAAATCTAGGAGTAATACTGGTACAAATGAGCTTTTGCGTCAGTGGGACGTAGAAACGGAGTGGGAGCTGCACCTGTCACCGTCCCGATTTTGGCTCAAGTATTCTGGGTTTCTGAAATTTCGCTTATAGAAGTAACGTAAGGACCTGATGGAGGGACACAGGACGCTGCTCCCACTAATTCGTAAGCTTACCCTGGTTATCGTCACTGGAAAGCTGTCATTCCAGTCAACATCGATAATCCATCATGTATTGTGGGCTTACATTACGGTAGGACGTTTGTCGGGAAGAAATGCATGTCTGGTTTCCTACCTTGAAATTTCTTACCTTACAGGTGATAAGAGATCAAGATATAATTGTTTGAGCTATCAGTCTTTTACACAAAATGTTACTAACAATGCAGACATAAGATGGTTTTTGAAAGGCATTTACAAGCTGAGGCGATCTCAACTGACATATAGATACTGTGGTTGTTCTCAACCTACCAAAGGGGTTACTGATAAGCTCTGTAGATATTTGGATGAGGAAATCAGCAACACTGCTAGCTCTAACCTCAGGCCAGAGTGTGCAAACTAAATGAAACAGACCGCATCCGGACTGGGTTGAATAATACTGAAATTGGGATTTCTGAGTTTTTAAAAGTCTCGGGGTCACTCATGTGGCCACCACTTAAGTTTTACCGTATTTTACGCCCAAATATCTGTGTAAAGCATTTATTTGTCACTGTACAGCAACTTTATCATGATGCCTCGGCTCCCGGCGGTTGGGTACTACTACGAGGTTACAACGATAGGTATTCTAAATATTTACTTCGACGAGGACTTCACATAATTAAGATTCCTTTGATCATGTAGTTAGACGTCAAAACGTGATACTAGTGAAATAGGGTTTATGCAGGTTGTCAAACTTTGGTGTTTTTTTTTCAGATAAAATACCCAATATGGCCCAAATATCTGTGCAAAGCATTTATTTGTCACTGTACAGCAACTTTATCATGATGCCTCGGCTCCCGGCGGTTGGGTACAACTACGAGGTTACTACGATATGTATTCTAAATATTTACTTCGACGAGGACTTCACATAATTAAGACCCAACATCACTTACAGGTAAGTTCGTTTGATCATGTAGTTAGACGTCAAAACGTGATACTCGTGAAATAGGGTTTATGCAGGTTGTCAAACTTTGGTGGTTTTTTTTTCAGATAAAATACCCAATATGGCCCAATAACTAATAATCAACACTCATAAGTAGATTATATCAATCTTCCTCGTTTAAAAGGGCCTATCTGGGTGTGTAATAGAAAGGATGGCATTCCATTTAAAAAAATATGTTTGATATAGGGCAAAATTGGGACACCCTGTATAACTGTGAGTATTATAGAAATGTGCCCTCGGATACCATGTATAATAGGATTGTTAAGAGGCCTGGAGAAATTATTCCCAAAGTTAGGCAAGGTTCATCGGTAACTGATTTCTGTAAGGTTTGTGCCCCGTCCTTTGCAAATTTTAATTGCATGAGTCAGTTTGGCTTATTAAATCCATTTATTTTTTTGTCATGTTCGTATGCTTTTTTATGGAAGGCGATTATTTATGCCGAACATAATCCTTTATGAGCTGATGAAAGCGTTGCGTAGGCAGCTCAGGCTCAACCTACTTGGTGTCATTTGTTACTTACAGCAACGAGCATTTTATAGTTCTCTCTGATAGCACCATAGCATCCCAAGGATGCGACTAGGAATATTATAGCTCCCATTACTATAAGTACAATGGGAGGACCAACTAGGTCACTTGTGACGAAGTGGCTGAAGTCTGAGACATCTGCTAATACCAAGGCTCCTGCTATGATTATTCCGAGCCCCGACATCTGGAAAATAATACAAGATTGATTATTACAGACATCAGATAGATCTAGTACGTTACGATATAATCCATTAAATATATAATACAGTGGACCCGTGTGGTAATCCAGACCCAGTCTAATCCGACGCGGCGCCCCTTATTATCCGACATGCCTAACACTGTTGATTGTACATAAAAATTTCGGCAAATCTTCAATAATACATAAGTGATTGGAATTTGACAGCTTGTAACATGTACGCACGACCATTATTGTGCTCGACGTGTATTGTTTTAGTTTGAATTTGACTCTATATAGTATACATATATATATATATATATATATATATACAGGGTGACTTCGAAGTTGAGTCATTTATTTTAACAGTGAGTAGATCTGATCAAAAGAAATGTTTTTTTCCTTTACCATTTTTCTGGTAAAATTAAAGTAACAAAGTTATAGCCCTTTGGAAGTTTGAGTACCGCCCTGTCTCAATAATAATATTATGTGCTCGTGTTTGGCGACAACGGATATAATCCGCCGTATCGGTTCATCGCATCGGAAACAAAAAAGCGAAAGAATTTGGAACGATGTTTTTACAATTATTTTATTCATTTGTATACAGTCAGTGTCAGTGAATAGTGGTGTCTGTTGCGTGGCTCAAACGAAATAAAAAATGGCACATGTTTATGCGGATCGGTTTCCCAATCGAGTGCAACCAACCCCTCGTGCCTTTGTTAACGTAGTACAACGGGCTCGTGAATCAGGTGACGACATGCCGGTGCTCCAAGACCTCACGATCAAATACAGGTTCGCACTGAAATACTTGTCGGGAGGATACTTTATAAAACAAGGTAAACTTTTTTTTATTTTTTTTTTATTTTTACACACATATTTTGGTTTATCTTCCTTCTACAATCATTATCTGAAAATTAATGACTCAAATTCAAAGTCACCCTGTATATGTATATATATATATATAAAGGAAAAATTATCATGCGGATAAAGGTATATAACAAAAAATAGGAAAATGATGGGCAAAATCCGCAAAAATAGAAAGTGGGTTCTAGCTGAAAATAGGATAGGTAACCCGAGCAATACGGATTTCTGCTTGTTGGCTTCATCAGGCCCGAAATGAATGCACATACGCAACCACAAAACTAGATACACATGCCCATACATCCGGACACGGGTGTAACTTGAGGAAACGAAAATGGAGAGGGAGAAAAAAAATGACACATGAAGTCTCCAACAAGAGCCAACCTACACATTGTAGTATAAAATGGATAGAAGACGTCGAATTTTCAAGGCGACATCTAAACGTTTATTCATGTTCGCGGATATGAAACGTCAAAATGCAGGTTACAGTAATTATAATCAAAATACAAGGTACGATTATGGACACTTAAACCCAAAATTACGACAAAATCGATGCAAAGTCATTAACTGAATAATAACATTTTTCTACCAAAAATGCTTGAACACGTTATCTGAACGAGTTTGTAGCAACCAAGGTTTTGATAGCCAAGCCATTCATTTCAGTTAGCCAGACAGACCCGCCTGCCTAACCGTGTCAAACTTCTTACATTCAGAACTGGCCGATACGACCGCTCCTTTGTCTCTATGGTACCGCCATTGTGGATCAGTCTGCCTGAGAAAGCTTTTCCCAGTTTTACTACCCTTAGGAGGTCCAAAAATCGGATTAACAAAGTTTCTTTAATGTCTTCATAGCAACCGCGGTGCCGCGGTATTTCGGCACGTATACAAGTATAAGAAAATGACGTTTGGTATCACTGGGACGCAACTGCCTTATTAGGAACATATTATATAGGAATCACGAAAATATTGATACTTTCCTACCTAATAATATGTTTGACTTATATAGTGAATAATCAACAACCTTTGTTGACGAGACCACGATTATAAATAGATGATTTGAAGTTTATTTTTTTATCGTGGCTATCTTATATACATCTTCAACGGAGATACCTAGTATCAAGGCGATGTCGCTATTCCTGAAAAGGTCAACCTACATTTCGTTGGGCTATATGCGCTGTTCTTAGTTGCAACGCTGCTTAACAACTCTGCGTGATGGTTATCGTTAACCCAGAAAAAAGCTGTAAAATAGGTATCAGGGCACGGTTGATTATTGATTCTTCCTTGCTTTCGCGCCCATATTAGTATCTTTTGTGTGCGTGCTTCCCTTCAATGGGTTTGTTTACTTACACAAGCCATTATGTGAATCATGAGTCTAGAATATTGTGGTACGGGATCCTTGAGTACAAGGATAGAAAAATGATAAAAGAGTTCGAGAAATACTTAATTAATACGTATCAAATCAAAGTGAAATTAGGACTTGTCGTGATATGTAAGAATCGATCAATACGGAACAAAGGCGACATAAAATTCACGTCAAAATCAAGGGATATTCAGTTTTATACTGGTACATTTGCTACACCATTACATATTTCAACTTGGTGGTGGATAGTTTTGCCGAACCTACTGATTTGTCGGTTTTATGCCCCATACAAATCGTACATATTTTGGCAACCGGACATTCGAAAGACGTAGTATTGGATTGCATATCAATTATTATGTTATGCGCATCCGTTGCTGCGCTTCCCCCACTTCAGTCATATCGATCTGTATTTTGCATTAGTTTTAGTGTGTAGTTTCAGTACGTACAATATACACAGAATGGTAGATCATCGTCAATACGGTATCTGCGGATATGCAATTAGCAATAAGCTGATTATTATTATTTTTTTTAAAGAGGACTATAAGACTTTTACGTATGTAGTCTCTACAACATGTATGAGTCTGTTGGTGGCACAATTCTTCGTTTGGGTTCTGCGATTTTTTTTCTGTTTTGAGGAATCAACCCTTGTATGCCCAGATTCACCCTGTAACCCCTGATCTTCCGCAGAGCTATGCTATAAAGATGTACTCCTATGAGGTCTCTACAACATGTATGAATCTGTTGGTGGTACAATTCTTCGTTTGGGTTCTGCGTTTTTTTTTTCTGTTTTGAGGAATCAACCCTTGTATGCCCAGATTCACCCTGTAACCCCTGATCTTCCGCAGAGCTATGCTATAAATATGTACTCCTATGAGGTCTCTACAGCATGTATGAGTCTGTTGGTGGTACAATTCTTCGCTTAGGTTCTGCGATTTTTTTTCTGTTTTGAGGAATCAATCCTTGTATGCCCAGATTCACCCTGTAGCCCCTGATCTTCCGCAGAGCTATGCCATAAAGATGTACTCTTATGAGGTCTCTAGAACATGTATGAGTCTGTTGGTGGCACAATCCTGCTTTTGGGTTCTGCCATTTTTTCTTGTTTTATGCAGTGAAGCATTGTATGCACAGAATCACCCTGTAGTCCCCCGATTTTTCGCAAAGCTGTGTCATAAAGATGTACTCCTATGAGGTCTTTACAACATATATGAGTTTGTTGGTGGCACAGTTCTTCGTTTGGGTTCCGCGATGTTTCTCCGGTTTGAGGGGTCAATCTTTGTATGCGCAAAATCACTCTGAAGTCCCCTGACTTTTCGCAAAGCTATGCCATAAAGACGTAGTCTTATGAGGTATCTACAACATATATGAGTCTGTAGGTGGCACAATTGTTTGTTTGGGTTATACGATTTTTTCTGTTATAAGCAGTGAAGCCATGTACGCGCAGAATCACTCTGCAGTCCTCTGATTTTTTGCAAAACTATGCCATAAAGATGTACTCCTTTAAGATCTCTACAACATACATGAGTTTCTTGGTGGCACAATTCTTCGTTTGGGTTCTGCGATTTTTTTAGTTTTATATGTACTCCCGACATAAACGAGTCGTTTGTCGAACTCACCCTGTATAACCCTAATTTAGTTTAAGATGTATGCAGTAATTACAGCGGCAGTACAAATAGGACTAATAATAGTAGTCATGTAAGAAATCATTTTTGCTATTTTTCCTGTTTCCTGTTCTCGTTTTCCCGTTCACTCCACCACTGGTAATATCGAATTTTGGGATATTATCTAGAATAATTTGTGTAAAAGCCTTATTTAACATAAAGTAACCCTCAGTAGCTGAAAATGTGTTTTCTAGCTTATCGGCGTTTTGAGCTCACTACTGAACTCGTCGACCGTAATTTCATCATATTCGAATTTGAATATGAAGCTAACTTCAGGGACCTGGCGTATTTGTGAATTTAGAATATTGATTAAAACTTTTGATGTGTCAGAGGTTCCTGCTCATTTTGAAATTTTTTTGATGGATTTGAAAACTGGGGAGTACGGTTGTAGGGGGTTGATGTTGTAAGCGCAAAATCTTTGGTATCGGTGAAGTACCTTCTAATCTCGGTACCACTACATACCTACACATTATTTCAGTACATTTGTCGTTAAAACAGAAATATTTTAGAAACCACTATACAATATAGGCAAGCGATTATGTTTTAGTCCTCAATCAGTTTTTGAGCGGAGCCTAACACTGATATAAATAGACCAGGCATTTTAAATACGCGCTTCACTAAAGCTGCCAATTCAGTCATATTTTTTGCAGAATTGGCGGGGGAAAGTATTGTAATCGCAAAATTTCGAAATAGAAATATTATATTGTTTGTATGTTACGCGTCATGTAGATTATTATGAAAAACCGAGTAAGAATTCGTCAGTCTGTCTGTCACTACAAGATTAGTAGATCGTAAGAGCTTTGCAGCTTTTGAGAATTGATTTAGTGGCGGCAGTCCTATGAGCGAAAAACTGAAAGTTTCCGATCTTTCCCAAATCTCGTTCTCTCATGTTTCTGAGTTTCTGACCATTTTTGGACTGAGCTAAAACTCATTGTGGTTAAAAATGCACATTTGTATCCGAAAATCTAAAGTAGGAGTGGATGCTTCATACCACAAAATGGCCCACTAAAGGGTTGAAAATCAGTCCTGACACGTTCCTATGGATTAAAATTTGATTGTGGCCTTTTAGCTAAATAATATTTTGGAATTCGTACCCTTAATAGCCTACGGCTTAGTTATGTTTTGAGGTT